AGCTGTAGAGGGCAGTGTCACTGGCCCTCATATGTGGGATCCGAACCGGGGTCCTCTGGCGTCCCAAGCCAGTTCTTAACCATCGCGCCACTCAGCCAGCCCACAACTGTAGTTTTTAAAAATCAAATTCTACAAGCGCAGCAGAAGGATGAACTTGTATATGGGTTCCCAGGCACTGGAGTGCTCCTGACTGTGGACCCGTGAGGCAAATACATTTCTCACAGCAGGAAAGGGGATAAGGTATCACGTGGAGAAGGCAGGTAGGTGGTAAAGCACTCCCAGATCTCCTGAGAAACCCACAGCAAATATGCTGACCCATTCAGTCATGAAACTAGGCCAGCACTCTAGGTAACCCTACAAACCGATTAGAGACAGACCTGTTTAATGGGAAGGGTGTGAACCTTTTAGTATAAAGCAAGCAGCAACCAAAAAAAACTAAAAACCGCACCTGGGTTTAAACACCAGCTTTGCTTCTTTCCAGCTGTGTGAACTCAGTTTTGCCTTAAATGATCAACGATGACTGTCTCGCTGCTGTCCTAGGGCTTATGGCTAGTGCCTGTCACGTAACCTAGCAGCTCAGTGGCTCTTAATGTGGTCTGAAGAGCTGCCTCTCCTTTTTCTCTGTCCATCTCACCTTCTAAACACCGTAGATGGCAGTGAACTGTGTTTAGAGTTCTTGGCTAAGGACAACTGAGGAACAGCAGCAGATCACCTTGCTTAGAGCCCAAAGTCCCTAAGGCAAACTTTCATCTCTGGCCAGGCTCTTCCAAGCCAGAAACTTTTGAGGACAGATGCTGAGTATGGGGATCACTCTTTCAACTTTGCAAATAGATTATTACCTTGAATCAATAATGATCTATATTACATTTGCTAAGTTATAAACATGGGATTCACTTTGGGATGTGACTTGCCCTAAATTCCTTGTACTGGTTGATAAGGCCATATTGTGAGACTCTGCAATCTTTACCTGTGTGAGGTGTTAATAGTAAAAAATGGAAAAGCTACATGCTTTGGTTGGAGTATACCACACACACACACACACAGAATTTGAGATCAGAATATTTCAATAGCCCTGTGATGGGCCTCTACTTCTACTACTCCTAAGATAGCAGTGTTGTTTTGGATGCCACACATTCAGCTTCTTCATCAGTATTGAGAATGAAAATGTCAGCAGGACATACCTTTAAGAAATATATTAAAACAAAGTAAAAAATATCCATGAACCCCAGAAGCTGTGCATCCATTAGTTTAGAACGTGCTTTTCTTTTAAAGACACATCCCTTACACTAAGCAGAAAATATGCTCAGGAGTTATGCTGTGCTATTGAATGCTCTACATGAATAAAAATATCAAAATATGAGTTTAAATAGGCTCCCATGGCTAGCTAGTCATTGCTTATTTAATTGATCCAATCAAATATAGACCACACTCACAGGGTCAAAGTCTTGTGTCTGCCTGGGGCAGGAGGCCAAGTAAAACCAGATGTTTGCTAAATGCCTTTGATAGTGCTGAAGGTGGCTCTTGTGCAAACTCGATGAAAATAACTTTGCCTTGCTATGACTGCAATTCCTCTTCAGCTAAATTTCCCCTCAAGATTTCCCACTTGTATTCGCAGTACTGTTTTTACCAGTGTAAACATACTTCCAATTTTGTTTTCTTTCCAGGCTTTTCAAAACTCATTTTATTCGACACAGTATTACTTCATAGGCAGTAAAGTTTGCTTCCCCAAAGAATGTCCTCTAATCCATTTTATCCTTGGGTAGCCCCAATGATAAGATTCAGTGAAGAACTGAGATCGCATTTTTTACATAGTGTGACATAATGTCACAAGGGCACATCCTCCTTCTGGGGCTGATTCCTATCAAACCTGGGTGTATCTGTGGGATGCTAATGACACTGCCCCACAGCCTTCTCACAGGGCGCCTGCAAGACGTTCCAGCTCCCACTCTGGGTTAGTGCCAGGGCTGCCCTATGAACGGTCCCGCATGGGCATTTCCCAGGTTCTTCTCGAACTTGCCAATGACCATGGACCGCCCCCCGCCCCCCGCCCATTCCCTACATCCCCCCGCAACACATACACACACCACGCATCTTCCCCAAAGTGCGCAGCGCTCTAGTGTTTCTGCAGTTCTTAAGTCCCACTACTGTCGCGTCACAATGATTACCAGCCCTGCAACGCACTGGCCGGGGACAAGGAATGGGACATAGAAACCACCTCTGAATGCATGGGATCACCGGACCCACGCCTTTAAGGACGTCGCCCTCCAGCCTGGGCCCACCAAAACGCCCCTGACGACACCCTCAGAGGGGGGTGCGTTACGGAACTCAAAGCCAATGTCATCGGATGCACCTCTTCAGTCCCCGAGAGCCAGCTCTGCCGGTCCTCGCTTCTTTGTCAGCCCCCCAGCCGCGCAACTCCCTGTACCCGAGCCTCCACGGCGCCCCGCACGTACCGACGTCACCCAGGAAGCAGCCGTCCGGGGTCCGGGACTCCATGCTGCTTGCTGCCACGCGCCCCCGTTCCGCGTCCCTGCGCTGAGGGCCGGGGACCGCGCTGCCGGCTGGGCGGGCTGATCTGCCTTGAGGCCGAGCGTCCGGCGGAGGTGGCCGTGAGCGCCGGGAGTTGTAGTTTCCCTGCCCAGCTGGCGCGCCTCCCGGGACTCGGGGCCAGCGCCGCATTGTGGTCACCTGCCTCCAACTCTGCTGTCACTGCGGCCACACACAAAGCATGTGTCCATGTGCAAAATATGTGTCCACGAGTAAAACGTGCTCGTATGCCCATGTGCAAAGCGTGTGCATGTGTCCAAGTGCAAAACTTGTCCATGTGTTTATGTGCACGAGTCCGTGTGTCCACGTGCAGAAGTGTCCAGCTGCTAAAACTCACTACCATCCTTTGTACTGATCGCTCTCGGCAACCCCCCCCCCTCCCCCCGAGTTCCTCCACGCTTTAATTTTAAAGACGAATTTCCTACTGGAGCTAGCATACTCCCTATTTCTTTCATCTTTGAAGAGAAATCATAAATTGCAAATTGTTCACATTCGTTGAAAAATAAAACAATTTACAAAACCGCTACCCGAGTCTCATGGCAGAAATGAAAAACCTGTTTCTGAATGACTCCAAGTTGACAATTGAGTAGGGGAGTTTTGTTTGTTTTTATTTTGTAAAGCCCCTAATAAAGTTCAGAAGGTTTGACCTTACCAAAGTTCGTTGCAGTCTCCGCACAAAATTTCTCACCCACCCTGACCTGAACTGAGCCTAAATGTAGAAATTAGTTTGGCCTAGAAAGTAAAAACAGGAGTTGTTGGGTCTGGAAATACATAAGGACTAGCAGACAGCTAAAGGTTTGATCTGTCGCCCTCAACAAGGCTTCCCCAGGACCAGGATCTTTAGCTCCAGTCTCTACACTGG